CCAGGTCTATGTGGGAGGAGCTTCTCCAGGTCTATGTGGGAGGAGCTTCTCCAGGTCTATGTGGGAGGAGCTTCTCCAGGTCTATGTGGGAGGAGTTTCTCCATGTCTATGTGGAAGGAGTTTCTCTATACCGGTGGCCACTTGGGAGTTGAGAAAGGATGGTGCAAGCAGTCCATTCAATCCTGCTTTCTTCAGCGCATCTTTGTGTGATACTGTACTGAAAGTATGCCTGTAGTCTCTCACCCTCTGGCTTGATTTTCTTAGCTCTTGTGCCAGTAGTTTGGTGCAAGGATAGTGCTCCACTCTGTATGTTTGTCCATGAAGGGGTACGACAGGAAGATGTCACACAGCTGCCATCTTGCTTTGCCTCTTCCACTGGTACGTCAAGACTGTAAGGGTCTTCTTTTCAGGTAGGACTAAGAAACCCAGTTATTTTACACATGACACTTACACATCCACTGGCCTTCATACCTCCTTTCAGTTCTGTATTTACATTCATGCTCTCTCTATCAGGAACCTGAATCTGAATATAACACCTTGGAGAAATAGAGACATGTGCTCATGTAGTAAGAAATGACTGTACTGGCCACCTCTCCTCCGGCCACAGGTTTTTCCTCTATGTGACAAGTCTGATAAGGATATGTTAGTAAATGTGTCTCGTCTACAAAAGAAGTCTGTTGATATGGCATAATTGAGTCGTCTGTGCTTTTCTATAATGATGTGTTGAGTATCTTAAAGATTGCTTGATTAATTAGAGGTGCATGGTGGGTAACCTGGATCCTCACAGGAGAAAGGATCAATTCATTATTCTACCTACTTTATTATGTTCAGGGTTAGAGACACAACTGGGATGTTTGGACCATTCCATTTAAGAAGGAAATAAAGAGTTGCAGGTTCTTAGGGGATTTTTTTTCTTGACAAATATATTTTCTTGAGAATTCACTCATGATGATGAGTTCAGGTAGCCCCTATCTATAATAATAATCTTCTTATGGCAAGTTAAGGGCTTAAGATGTACATTTATTGTCTCGCCATTTCTGAGGATTCGTAGTTTAGATTTTACTTTGCTGAGTTCTCTACCAGGTTATAAGAAAGGTATCAGTTAGGGTTGAGGTCTTACTCAAGGATCTTCTGAAGACAAGAAGGAAATACTTCCTCATTCTTGTGGTTGCTCCTAGCAATCAGTTGTTTATTGTGGCTGGTTCATGGCCTCATGTTTTGGCTGGCTATTGATTATAGACAAGCTTACACTCCTAGCCATGTGGTCCCTTTGTAGGGAAGCTCATAAATTAGTAGCTTGCTTTTTCATAGCTATCAAAGGACAATTACAATCCTCTTCTTCCTCTCCTTTCTCTCCCTCCTCCTCCTCCTCCTCTCTCCTCTCTCTCTTCTTTTTCTCTTACTAGGGTTTGAACTCAGAGCCTCACACTTGTTAGGTAGTGCTCTACCATTTGAACCACGTCTCCAACCTGGATACTGTGATCTTTTTTTGCTTGAACTCTGGGCCTGGACACTGTCCTTGAGCTTCTTTTACTCAAGGCTAACACTCTACCTCTTGAGTTACAAGTGTCACTTCCAGCTTTTTCTGTGTATACGATACTGAAATCGAACCCAGGGCTTCATGCCTGTGAGGCAAGCAACTCCACCACTAAGCCACATTCCCAGCCCAGGGGCACTGCAATCTTAGGCATCATAACCATACTTGTATAGTTCTATAAGTCACCTGGCCCTTGTGATATTCTATGGATAAAAGCAACTTATAGGTTCTGCTTTTTCAGGTGAGAAGACTGTCAAAAAATGTGAGTTCCACAATGTAGAAATCATAGGAGCTGTTCTAGAGTATATCTACCACAGTTAGGATGAATAAATTTTTCATAGAATTTTCTTTTGGTATGAGAAAATATTCTCAAGCAGCCTTAACAGACCCCTGATAATGAAAAGTACTTTGTCTACTATGGGAAAGGAAACACTACGCTATGGGAATGTATGCCATTCAGAAGAACAGCTATGGAAACATTGGACGTGGAGGGTATCCTAAGAAGCAAAAACACTAGATGAGGACAACATCTATAATCACCAAAGTATGAACACATATTGTAAAGCCAACAGAATAAGAAAGAAAACTGTAAGGTTCTAAGGCCTGTGGATGGGAGAGGAAGAAAGCAAAGCCACTAGACCCAGAAGATGTGCTTAAAATGCATGCATCGTGTCATTTTTTTTCCTCTGTAATCTTCAGGGTGACTTGTTTCTTCTTCAGGGGTTAGAATAATTCTACATTTTCTGTCAGCTGTTATAGATGCAAAATAAGATAGAGTGAGTTTGGAGGATGAAGACATTTGGTGTGTTTACAGTGTGAAAGGATGAATGCTGAAATGACCCTTTAAAACTGTGGCCTGAGAACTCAGGAGCAGGCCTTGCAGTGTGAACTTGGCATCCCAGGGGGGTGGCAGAGATTCTGGGACACACAATGCTAGGACTCTGGCGTTGCCTGGGAGGTCCTGAGGGCCTGACTGGTTCAAGAAGAGATTATGTACAGGTTGGAAAATGGGGACTGATTTGCACATTTTAATAAACATGTTAATAGTGACATTTTATATGGCTTCAAAAAGTGGTAGGACAACATTGATCTCCTTGAAATGAAGATGCATCTTACCAGTAGTTGAACATTGGCTCTAGTTGAAGAGTTTTGTCTCTCTTACAAAAGAAATAAGAATTGCCTTATGTTTTATTTATTTATTTTTTTAATAACTAAACCATAAACTCCTCTATGTCCTCAAAGAAAATTCTGGTGATTTCTGGGAACCACTTGAAGGAAAAGAGAGCATTTTCTTTGGAGTTCAGAAGAAAATTTATGATGTGCCATTGGACATGATCATGTAGAGACAGGACAATCATGAGTTCTGTGCCAGTTCAAGAGAAGAACAGGATTTCTGATTTCCAGGTTAAAATTCTAAAAGCTACCGCTTAACTGGAGAGGCGGGGAGAGGAGGCGGTACACTTCACAGTGCCACTCTGCTGCATGCTCTCACTCTAGGTTTACTGACTGCAGGTGAATCCTGGAGTGGACAGTAAGAGTATTCATTACTTCTCAACACCGTGATCTTATTGAGACCAGCACATTGAGTCCGATGGGATTGGGCTATGATGAAAAACTGTAATTGAAGTATAATGCATTATCCTTGGCTTGTCTTCTACAATCCTCTAATAATACCACTTCCTATCATAAAGAGAAGATGTTTCAAATTACAATGCTCTTATTTTTAAAGCTCCACGGTGATAGTGAAGAAATTATTATATAAGGCATTTGCTTCCATTTAATAAGGAACTTATGGGAGCACAGGACAAATTATTTAGATTCCCTGCTATTCAGTGACTTCACCCCAATTAATCCTTAATATCTGGTTTATGTACCTGTATTTTGGTAGACTTATACAGAACTCATTAGCCACATACACACACACACACACACACACACACACACACACACACACACACAGAGTGTGAATATATGATATATATAATGTATACATTATATCATACATTATATATTATCTATGTGTGACATGAAAGTTAAAGATTGTGCTGGTAAATGTGTTTTAGTCATTTACAAAATCATATTAATGCTACGTTACACCATGTGTTAAGAGACTTTCCAGTACTGCAGTTTTAATTTTAAATTCATACTGCACTCTAGTGGGCTATGAGATCTATGCAAAATTCTTTCACTGTTGGTGCTCTATTGCTTGATGAATACTTAAAATTATAGCAGTGAAATATATAAAAACTGTTGTGATTTACTACAGTTGTCATAAGGATAAAATACTATAAGTTATAGATCATGTGCAACTAGCATTTTATACTATGATAGTAAAACCTGATTCTACTTTTCAATTGGTCTTTGAAATCAAGGAAATTAACTGCTGGAATAGTTTGTTTTGTTTCTAGTGATGTTATTTGGAACACACAAAAATACAAATCTGAAAATAACTATGTATATGAAGATATACTTGATACTATATAAATGATCATATATAAGCAAATGCTGATCTGGGAACATGGTTCAAGTGGTAAAGTACCTGCCTAGCAAATTTCCTAGAGTACCTACCAAGAGTTTATGTCCTGTTACTCTCAGGATGCACTATATTCATAAACTCCTTTATTGAATGGCAACTTCTTTATGAAACTACTTGAAGATAATAAAAATATAATTTAAAAATTCTGAATAAAAGTGTAGTATTTGTAGGGTAAAATTCAAATGATATAATTCCTTACAAAATGAACCCACCTTCTAACAGATGAATACCAAGAACCTGGAACTTGAGAGGTGTGTGTCTGAGGAGAAGGGAGGGAATAGATGGATGAATAGAGGCATGGGGGCAGAATGCAGTCATCAGATTCAGCACATAGCCTATGACACTAGGAAAATGGAAGGGAAGGCTAGGTTAGAAGGAATGGAAGAGAATAATGACCAATATACATTGTAAGTACAATATACTTTATACTTACATTGTACTTTGTACTTACATTGTACTTACCACGTGATTTGTAAGTACTTGATGTGTTGATTTGTACAACTACTTAAAAAGATGAATAAAAATATAATGTAAAAAGTGATTTCTCCATTTTCCCCTCACTGGCAAGAGACCAAGGACAAGTCTATGAAGTATTTGCTTGCTGTGTTTCGTTTCTGTTCTTAATTTGATGAAGGAAATGGAGTGAAACCTCTTACAGGCACTTTTCATACCCATGTCCCTTGCTTGGCTGGACCTGCCATTTTGAACCATCTACTAGTTTTTCTTGTGCTGCTGTTTTCTAAGTTATTCCAAGTGGAATCTGGTGATGTTTCCTTTGGAAATTTTTTTTTGTGGGGGGGAGTCGGTCGTGGGGCTTGAACTCTGGACTTGGGCGCTGTCCCTGCACTCTTCAGCTCAAGGTTAGTGCTCTACCACTTGAGCCACAGCACCATTTCCAGTCTGCTGGTGGTTAATTGGAGATTATAGGCATGAACCACCAATGTCGAGCTTGGAAATTTTGTTACAAAGAAACAGTATCCAATTTCTTATAGAAGTAACCTATGATCTCGCCTTTCCACTCTTCATGCTTAATCTTATTTTCCAACATGATTTTCTTCATTCTTAAGGTGATATTTAAATGCTTTAAATGCTTTCTTCAAAACCAGTGTTACAGTTGCCATTCTATGATTGTACATTCAAAAATAATATACTTAGAAATCTATTACATATTACAGAAATTAGACAGTGCTTTTCATATCTTTAATAGATTTAATTTTGTCAGGTGTCTTGCAGGAGTTCAGTAGAGTGATTTTAAAAAATCCAGTGGCACCACGTGCTGGTGGCTCATGCCTGTAATCCTAGTTACCCAGGAGGCTGAGATCTGAGGATTGCAGTTCAAACCAGCCTGGGCAGGAAAGTCCGTGAGACTCTTATCTCCAATAAACCACCAGAAAACCGGAAGTGGTACTGTGGCTCAAGCGGTAGAGCACTAGCCTTGAGCTGAAGAGTGCAGGGACAGCACCAAGGCCCAGAGTTCAGGACCCATGACAGACAAAAAAAAAATCTACTGGCAATTCATTTTAATATATGTTAAAATTTGGCATATATTAATCAATTGAGAGTCCATATCCTTTCTGCCATTGTCAGTAAATTTTCATAAGAACCTGGGTTCTCTGGGAGGGGAGCCACATAATGTGCAGATAATAAATGCACAGAAAAATTATGACTGCCTTCTACTGCAAGGGCTTCTGAAGACTGTAGTATTACTCCTTGAAGATGTGGAGATGGAATGCACAAATTGTACTGATATTCTAAGTGCTGTAGCAGCCTACCTGCATATTAGAAGAATTTAGAAAAGCGCTATTATTTTAAATGATTTGAAAATTAGTGGTAAATATGCATAGCAGTCATTACTCACTTATTACCATCTAAAGGCTAGAGAGGCTGAAATTCTGAGTTGCCATCTTCTGTTTGGTTATGAGTACACCGACCATATATTATGGAAAATAGTGTGACACAGTATTGAACACAGTGAAAACAATGTAAAGTGTTTGCCATCTACATTCATGGTGAAGGAAGGCAATCCACATTGTGATACTCTGAGTACAAATGCAAAAATATATTAAGAAAGGAAGAAATGAGAATTCCTTTTGTTCTCCTTGTTTGTTTTCAGCAATCTTAACTTGCTGCCCAATCTAATAAACATAGATGTACTTATAAATCTCTATCTGTTGGCTCATATCTCCCTTTGCTTCATCAGATTTCACATGTGCACAGGATGGAGAGAGTGAAGCTGAGCTAATGCCTGAAGACCTTGAAGAAAAAACAGAACGAGAAAAGAAACACTCCAACTTTACTTTGTGCAGTGTTTGTAACATTCAGCTGAATTCAGCTGCTCAAGCACAAATCCACTACAATGGTAAATCGCATCAAAAGAGATTAAAACAACTCAGCAATGGGATGCTGAAAAATGACAATGGTAAGCATTCTCAAAAATATCTCGTTGATTTTACATCATCAACGTAAGTTATTTGAGTACTTGCAGATGTAAAGGTTAAAATGGACTTATCTCTGATTTTTCATGGCCAGGAAAAGCATTATAGAAAAGCTTTATCAGCATGGAAGGTTAAAATAGAACATTTCTTTTTGGAAGAAAAGGGGAAAAGTAATGGTGTGTATCTGTATTAGGGTTGTGAGTACCAGAAAGTTTTCTATAATTTGAAAAAGTTGACTTCTCTGATGTTTCAAGTTCTCTGATGTTTCTTCTTAATATAGTCAGATATGGCAATGGGCATACATTCTACTATGTATTTGTGTGTGTGTGTATATATATACATACATGCACACGCACACACACACACACACACACACACACACACACACACACACTGTTGGGCTGTGCCTTTGCCTTGGTTTGTTGCATGTGAAACATTCTGTTGGTCAGGAAGCTTGCAGTTGCTTTGCAGTGCTGTCTAATTTTTCAGATAGGTGTGTTTATTTCTACAAATTGTGATATATATTACTATGAAATGGTTGCTCTAAAACTGCTAAGCAAAAATTCATTGCTTAATCAATTTGCAATACTTTTTAAAAATAGCTGCTACATAGAAGAATAAACCATTTTTTTAGATTGTGGATACGCACACACACCACACACACACACACACACAGAAACAAATGGAAGGTTATCAGGAAATATGAAGAGGTAGGGAGAGAGGTTGATGGATTTGTATTAAGAGAATTTTGGAGAGCTAAGGTATAGCAATTCGAGTTTCAATCTTGTATTGCAGTCATACATTGGTAAGTAAACATATATTGTCTTGGTTTTCTTGACTTGAGATTAAATTTTAATCCATAGCGATGTTTGACATTGTGATGATGTTTTATAGAATTTTGTAATTTGTTTCAAGATGGTCATGGGAAAAAAGTGAATATTTTTATTGGGAATTGTTTCTTCTTTCTTCAGTATGTTGAGTAGAAGGAGTTAGAATATTCTAATGGAAGGATTTCAAATTTCTCTTCCAAATGTATGACATTTACTCTCCACAGATGTCACCTGTCAAAGATATGTAAGCAGTGAGTTTCTAGATGAACAACTTCTAGGTGAAATCACATGATTAGATTCTAGGCTATTATTCTTTAGTTCTGATTGTGGTGGAGCTGGTATGAGCTGTTTTATTCTTCTACATTGACACTGCGAACCCTCTTGAAGAAGTAATATGTTTCACTATTGGAAGGTATTAGAGCAAAGGATATACATGGCTTAGAATTTCTGATTAGAGTTAGTCCTGCCAAAATTGATATTGACCAAAGATTTTCAAGCTGCATTACTAGGAATGACTTTCCAAATGCTGGATGTTTAAAAATAATCATACAGTATGTTAATTATGGGTTACTGTTGGACTAATATCTCTATGCACATATTTTACTCTCTTTTGTTTGTTATAGGGAGCTACAGATATTGTCCTTATTTTTCACAGCAGATATTGAAAGTAATAATGACACTGGTTGAATCGTGTCCAGTTGGACACATAGTTATTAAGTGTTCAAACTGACAGTCTCTTGTCTCAATCATTAAATGTCTGCTGTGCTACAGTCCACCAAAATGAGTATCATACAAAAACTGCCTTTCTTTGTTCAAAAATAGAAATGATTTTAGGATAATATAAAATTAAATTATATTTCTCTAAAACAATACAGTGCACACAAGTATCCAATCCAATTAATTTTTAATAAGAGGTTCATTATTTTGGGTTCTCTACAGAAAGATTGGGTGTTGTTTAATTCTTTTCCTTGAACCATACATTTTCAAAAACAACTGTGGTGAATTTCTATCTTCAGTAAAATTTCACTTCAATTTAGGTCTCAAAGAAAAGAATCTGACAGCAGAGATATGTACTTGAATTCATCCATGATTACACAAAAGGACAAAAATTTTTTTTTAAAAGTAAAGATAGATCTTGAAGTAATTTTAGTATTCATACAGAATTATCTGAATAAAGACATCAATTCTGCATTGCGTGATTATAGAGCATCCTGTAATTATTATTGAATCTTCACTACAAATAACAAGGATGAATAAAGTAGAGCTGCATATCTTAAGTTATGGTCACTGTATTCCTGAGAAAAACAGGATGGTTCACATGTCATCTCACTTTGCAGAGAAAATGATCCTATAAAAATCACAAGAGAAAAACCTAGTGTGATGTGTACAGACTAATGAAGAGACTATTCTTAGAAGTGTGGCTTACTTTCACTTTCTGACCTTGATTTTTGCAAAATAGAACACTGGTTCTGTCTTTTGCCTCCATGAAAACCATTTGTATAAATACTTTAAGATAATAAAAGTTATAATTTTAAAAAATAATTAAAAATAACCAAGAATTTTAAAAAGCTAATTAATTCTAAACTTCTGGGCACCATTCAATATGCAAATAAATATGAATAGGTAATGTAATACACACAATATCATATGCATTATGGTAGATTACTGTTCACATGTCACTACTTTCTATGATACTTATTTTTAAATCACCATAGAATGTTCATAGCAGAGTTGATATTTATGGATGAATGCAGATAGCTTCCTCTCATTTGCCAATTTTTTTTTCTAACTATGTGATTGTCCTATAATGGAAAAAATCTGACAATGATGCTTATAATGAAATATGAAAATATTGTGAAGAGCAGACCACCACTTACTCATGCCTATAATCATTGCCATTCAGGAGGCTGAGATCCAAGGATTATAGTTAGAAGTAAATCTTAGAGGGGAGGGAAATCTGTAAGAAATCCATCTCCAAAATAACCATCAAAAATTTGGGTTGGATGCATGGCTTAAGTGGTAGAGTACCAGCCAAGCCAGCAAACCCAGCAAGTGTCAGGCTCTCGGCAGAAGCCCTAGAACCTCCTGCCCCACAAAAATTACCATCAGGAAATTGATCTAAAAATACAAATTTGAAGATGGAAATTAAAATGATTCTTTGGCTCCAAAGAGTATTTTGAAATAGCTATTACAAAGGGCACAATTTTCAGGATAGAGAGAGCTCACAGTTAGCCTGCTTCTGATGCTGTTGACAGATGGCTGTCACACGATTGTAGGAATCTTATTTGATGCCCAATATCTCTGTCAGATTTGCTGTATTTTATCAAGCTGCATCTTCTATTTTTGTGGGGCTAAACCTGCTCTCAAAAAATTTCAGCTTTAGCTGCTAATTGTGTTCTAGAGTCATTTTGTGCTCACTGTTTTCTAGCCCGCAAATCTTGCCACCTACCTTCTGAGCATTGACTTTTCTTTCATTTAACAGGAAAGCTAAATGAAATCTTAGTTTACAGTTCTGACAGATCTAGTCTCTTGTTGATTTTCCTAGATGATGTTTAAAGTGTCAGTGCATGTTCAATTTATAAGATTTCCTTCTGCAACATGGGTGGTTAATGAAAATGAAATAACCCCATGGGATTTCCTAGTCCTTCCAGCCTTGGTTTTTGTGGTATAATAAATTCATCTTTGTATACACATTTGTCTCACCTTTTTTATCATTGAGGACTGTTGGAGCTTTTGTTGAACAACAGTAGATAAATTAGGACTTGTCTGTTCATCTGTGGATTCACAATGATCTCTTCGGAGTCGATTTTATTGAATAATTGTAATTGCTTGTTTAATGGTGTCTTACTGGTATTAGAACATGACATTGCAGGGTGACAGTAGGAACAGTGCTGTGCCTGAACTGCTCTCACCAGCCATATCTTTTACCTTTTGGAAGGTTCAATCAAATGAAGGCAATAAAAAATGCTGTTATTTAGGTCCCATGGTTTACCTTATTTGCTATAACTAGTATATGTCTGGGACAAGTAGAAAAGGTCAAAAGCTATATACATATGACCAGATAAGATGAAGTTAAGCAAAATGAACCCCAAGATAGGGACACAAGTCTTTTTTTTTCTTGCTGCTATTGTTTCTAATGTATTTATAAGGTACCATGTGATTTTTTTGTTGCTTTGTATGTTCCTTCCCCATGGTATAACCCTTGTTTTCACTGTATTTGATATTGGTATAAGTTTGGTAGGGGAAGGGAAAAAAAAAACAAAATGTTTAAATAGGGATACAGGTTGACCCATTGCAACAATGAGATGTACAAAACACTATGTTGAAAAACAAACTTTACAATTTAGGTGGGGCGGGGTGGGGTGGGTAGGAAGAGTATAGTTGTGGAGGTGGAAGGAAAGGGATGGTAGGGGAAAAACAAACGAGGAGGCAACAATGCTTGATAAGAAATGTACTCATTACCTTGCTCATGTAACCGTAACCCCTCTGTACAGTATGTTCACAATAAAAAAACATTAAATATGCTGTTATTGATTAAATAACCCCAAATGATGCAATTAGACATTGGGGTGAATCCAATCACTTATTAAATCATTGAAGAATAAATATGTAGGATTTATTGATGCTACTTTCACTGTTTGAACTTGAACTATTGAGCTTCAGTTACCACTTTGTGCATAGAGAGCATGATGATTATTTCATGAGAAAACATCCCATTCAATAATAATTGCTTTACATAGACTTACATGAATGCCACTGAAGAGTACCATATTTTGCAATACAGAGATATCGTAACTCAATCTGTTTCTAAGAAATCCCTTTCACAACAGTAGTGGTAGGACTTGCATTCTGAGTTGATCAAACAGATGGAACACAGGATTGAACTCATCCACCAGGCTTCTGTGAGAAAGACCCCACATCGTCTGATGTAGAGTGGAATTGGGTGAGATTAGAGGACATGAGAGAGGACTTAGCATTAAAAAAATAAAGTGTATGTAATCCGTGTCATTTAGCTTCAGAATAGAATATATTTTAGATAGGAAATATTGTCATTTGTGATTTGGTGTGGGAATGTGAGGAAGTTCTGCAAGGACTGAAAGCTTGAGGGAGCGATCAGACAAACTCAGAACAGAGG